CACTGAGTCCAATAGCACGGTTTCAATTCCCAGCTTGCATGTGACAAGTAAAAGGCATGCCTGTCCAACCTCATGTTTTTTCTTTGGGTCCTATGGTTCTTCCCACTGTTAAAGACCCCTTCACGTAAAACGAATTAAGGAAGTAAAATTGAACCACTTGTTAGTCCTGAAATTACAGTTTGTGTCGAGTGGACGTTAAACCAGATTTCCCTCTGTCTCTTCGAAAAAATCATGGCATGGGCCAATCAGTGGTGGCACCTTTTGGGCCTGACAAAGAAACTGTGCCTAGTTATTCAGATGGGGCAAAATTGTCAACCCGCCTACATATAGGTATGCACGTAAAGAACCCTTGCTTGTTGGATTTTGTTGAAGAGGATTCAGACACACTTTGGACACTTTGAAATGGAAAATATCAAATGATAGTCTCTAAATAACTGAATTACTATATCTGTAAATTGTTTAAATCCAATCTATTTCATTACATTTTTGAGAAACATGGCTCTGCATACTTTTTCTAACCATCGGGAAATTAGAAAGCATGTGAAACGTTAATTATTGCTTTAGCTTGGCCAAGTTTTTTTCACAGAACAACACATGACACAAATATTTTATACTACACAGAGTTTTAGGCCTTTATAAATCTAATTAAAATGTAAAAGGAAACAGAATACAGAATAAAAACAATAAAATAAATTGGACTGGGAAGTTTTGCTTGTCTTAATTGGTAATTAAATTCAAGGATCATTTTAACTGAAAGGTTTTGCTGTATCTCTTTTTATAACCAGGTTCTATATTTTTGATGCGATGCTGCTATTGTAATGATAAGAGAATTAGAAATCATCTTGATCTTTCAAATTTTCCGCCTCATCACACTTATCATACTATCAAGATTGTGTGAAATCAATAAAGGAGCCTCCGTAAAACGAATATGTTGACAATATGGCCTAATTGGGAGATGGAGTTGAACAGATTACAGACACCAATTTCATGGATAATTGGTGTCATCAGCGCAATTGACATCTCCTTATTCAAAAACAATAAATCACGGCTTTGTATTAATCCAAAGTGCCAATCGTAGCAGAAAAGCAAATGTAACATATTGGAACAGACCTAGGATATAGCCTAAATTCAACACGACCACACTTCATAAAGCGAAAACTCATTTTATTCTTGGCTTCGGTAAATAGGATTTGACAGTAGCCTCAATTACCCAAATGAAAAAGAGTAATATAATCTTACTTGATGTTATTTCTTATGATTGCATGAATAATTTATTTGTCAGTGTAAAGCTGAGTTTATGGGGCTAGCTTCGGCACCCATGGTTCTCCTGAGACTTAGACTCTACTACACAATTCCTTTTAGTCTCGTGTTCAAATAAGTTATTAAATGAAAACATTGGCTCTTGAAATGACTCAACAGGACTACTGTAATTACTTAGCTTACAGTTTAATGAAAAAGGAGAAAAAAATGAAGAAGCAACTGCGTTTGGTGGAGATGAATTCATCATTTAAAATGAAAACTCTTTCGTCCCATAGCTATGGCTTTTTGGAAGTTTTATTGTAAAGAGCTACGTTATATGTTATTAGTAATATTATATCATAATTCCCAGGCGGTCTATTAAAAACATCCATCACATACCAAATTTTTATTTACGACAATCCAGAGCAAAGTTCACGAAGTTTGCATTAATTTGTGTAATAGTGTATGACTGTATTTTCTGTTTAATGGGATTGTTTTGAATTAATAGAAATAAAAATAACCCTAGTTTTAGGAAATTTTTAACCTCGTTGACAAGAATATGACAAGATATCAGCTTAATGCACTAATGGACCGGCCAATATTTCATCAAGCAGTGGTCTACAATGGCCCTAAAACAAACATTGTTGTCACGCATATGTCGTTTTTTTCTTCAAAGTCAAAATAAGAAGAAAGTCCCTAGAGGTCTTTCGTTAAATTCCACCATGACAGTTGTCAATTGAATTTGAAAATTTGCGAAACATTATGGAAAGGTTATTTTTTTTATAAAATAATGAATGTCACTGGTATTATTTGGTGTATGTTAAAAGTTAAATGTGTGTTGTGGCATATCAATGTAACATAATATTATTTTAAGAGAACTTAATGTGTCTAATGTTAAATGTAGCCATTATCAACATTTACATCTTCCAGTGTACAGGGAATTAAAGTAGAAGCCATCTTTAATGTTAGAAACGATATTACGAGTTGCTTAAGAATTCTGTGTTGTGCCAACCTAAAGCATAAATTATAACACTAAGATGAAGATAATAATGATAATTTCCTTATTTTATTTCTTGCACAGGGTTATGGTTATGGCAATGTTTATTTAAGCATACACCTAAACAAGAGTTGTATACAAAGCGAAATACAGTGGCATCTATACTATTCAAAAAAAGTAGGGGATATTTGATTTTTAAGTGTTATTAAAGTCACCTAATGAAACTGACGAAGAAACAAATGACAAAATGAAATGAAGTTCACATTCATCGATTTATTCCAAATGATCGTTAGACTAAGTAAGGCACAGACTGACCATTATAAGGGTAAAATGATACCCGGGGTCAAACAGCAAAGTTACCACAGCATCACAACCAAGTCAGTAACGGGTAAATCCTCCTCTGTTTGCCAAACAAGCATTGATCCGACGTGGCATACTCCTAATGAGACGTCTAAGGTCATTTTGGTCCAGATTGTCCCTTTCCTGTTTTTACGCAGCAGCAAGTTCTTGGACATTGGCAGGACGTTGTTGACGTTGACGTAACCTCTGTCCAAGCATGTCCCAGACATGCTCGATGGGGGAGAGGTCGGGACTCAGTGCTGGCCAAGGTAATGTGGTGATGTTCTGTTATTGGAGGTAACCTGTAACGATCCTGGCCCTGGGACATCTTGCATTGTCATCCTGGAAGATGAAACGGCGGCCATGACGTCGTGCGAACGGCACAACATGGACTGCCAAGATGTTGTCCCGGTAGTACTGGCCTGTAACACGCCCTGCAACAACATGTAAAGCCGTTCTTCCAGCAACAGTGATGCCTCCCCACACCATAACAGAACCACCCCCAAATCGATCATGTCTGATGACGTTAACGTCTTGGAAGCGCTCGTTTCGACGACGCCACACCCTCCTACGTCTGTCCAAAAAATCAACAGTGAACCTTGACTCATCTGAAAACATCACATTGCTCCAGCGTCGATTATCCCAGTGTTGACGATCCCTACACCAACGACGTCTTGCCTGAATGTGATGATCTCTCAAACAAGGGATCACGCGAGGACGTCGGGCGCGAAGGTGACCCCTATGCAGTCGATTCCGAATCGTCTGGCCACTCACTCTCACACCAGTGTCTGTTTGAAGACGAGCGCTGATCTGATTTGCTGTGATGACACGATTTCTCAAGGCCAAGGTACGGATAAATCGATCCTGGGCTTGAGTTGTCGCCCTTGGTCGACCTGAGCGTGGTCTGTCCTGTACAGATTGTGTATCACGGTATCTGGACCATAGCCTGCTTATGACAGACTGAGAAACATTCATCGTCTGCGCCACAACCGCCTGTGTTGTGCCGATCTGTAGCATGCCAAGGGCACGTAACCTTTCATTTTGGGTAAGCCGACGCATATCAAAATTTGTTTTCTGGTCACTAAAACAATTAAACTGATGTTTCCACCCTGGAATTCAATGCCACAATGACTGTAACATTCAAAGTCAGAGTCGTGCAAATCTTGGGTTGGACCCCTATGATGATCCCAAGCATCACCTGCATTCCATGCGGTAGCTATTGGTGCGTTTGGGCGTCACATGTAACTGGAAATGTTTCTTCTGTTAGGTTCTATAGTGACTTTTTTCGTAGTCATTTGCATATTTTAGTATTATGCCCCCAAAATCAAATATCCCCTACTTTTTTTGAATAGTATATCAAAGACTTAAACAAACCATCTCCACTATAAAAGCATGTATTTGAAAATATATTTAAAACTATATTTCTATTTACCTGATTGATATTGGGTGTTTTACCATTCTGCAGATCGGAAAATAATCTACCACGGTAATCATGATATATATTACCAGGAGTTAATACATTAATCAAATTTTTTAAAATGATTAATTTAATCAATGAATGCTGTATGATCAGAAAGAAAATGACAAGTTGAAATGTAATTTAATAGATGGGATTAGTTTTAGGAATGATGTTGATACACAACTCGGTTCTTTATAAGATTTTATTAAATCAGTTACATGGTTTGATTGGATTGATTACTCTATAACCTTCTTGAATTTCGGCCTGAATACTTTTAATTGAATTTTATCAAAAAAAACACACTTGTGCAACCTTAATCTAAAACTTGGCAGATTTCTTTTGGAATCAACGGAGAGAAAGATCCTTGCATGCTGTTTTCTTTCCATAATTTAAGTAGGTTGCTCTATTTAGTTACCAATTGCTTATAAATTCTGCTCAGACACATGGGATAACAGACATTAAATAGGAAAAGATTGGCAAGTACAGTAATGGACGGGTAGATTTTCTTTTTATAAGCTGCTGTAATGAAGTCATCAGCTATTTAATCCACAAAAATTTCATAGTGTATTATCACCGTCATGCCGTTAACAAGACAAGTTCACCAACAGTCAAATCGAAACACCATTTTCAACATTCACGTACGTTTGGCATGAGATGGACACAATTTCTGGTTAGCATGCAACATTGCTCCATTCTATTATCTTCTGAAAAAAACCAAACGGAACTGGCTATAACCATATAAGGAAATAGACATATAGATTTAATTTCCTCTAATTTTTTCCCTCTATCCATGTTCTGATTGCTTTGGCCCTTAGTTACAGCTAACGATTACTGTAATTTCATTACTGCTTTTGATTGATGGTTATAATTAAACAGCAAGACTAGCCCTCCGTGGATAATACCAAATCACTTTGAAATGAAAGGATATTAAAGCTCCAAAGCAGTATGGATTCTTGTGGCCAAATCACTTGTATTCACAAGCCATCATATTACCCATTGTCAACAAAATGTGCATGTAGAAGGTAATGGATCTCTAGGAAATAAATTAAAACTTGTCACTCTGTTAAGCCATGTATTTTCACATAAAGCACAAACCCAATTCACAAGTAAATTACTTTGATTTCATCTGTGGAGTGCGGAAGGGCTTTGCACATGTAATTACAAAGACTCACTATGAATAAGGTTTCATTTGGATGAAAGAAGTCGATGAAGAGAGAAGCTAGAGCAGGCTTGCTTTCTAACACAAGATGGTTATGGCAGATTAAAACAACCGTGGAGTTGGTGTTTATATACAGAGCTAGCAACAAGAATGGTGGCAACATAGTGGCTGCATGCCGTCTGTAAGAAACATTTCACGGTCTGGCAAGTGGATTACTTACAATTTCAAAAACAAGGGGGAAAAAATTGATTTCTTTCAGGTCTATGTGTGTCTGTGAAGTCTGTGTTTTCTCCAGGAATAGTGCTAAAAGTAAATATGTGGAACTCTTCATAAGATTACATTTCTTTTTAGAAGCCTTTTTCTATGGTTTCTTGTTGACAGCGGAAAATTAATTTGTCAGAGAAATTAGACATTTGCCTGTCATAGCTGAAGTAATAGAAAAAGTAATCAACTACATTCATATAAGGCCTCTTTTGTAAACTCTGGACATTTTTGAGAAGTTTTACTTTCTTATTAAAAAAAAAAAAACAAGATGAGATAGCCATATATAAATTTATGATCAGTGTGAATTATATAAAAAAGTGTAGATGGTTTATCAAACTGTAACATTTTTTTTTTCGAGTGTGACTACGTAGTAATACGTGGGGGTCTATATCTACAATTGTATTGATCTGTAGTAAATGACAGTTAATTGGCCAATGATATTTGTGAGTTTTACCAGTTACAACACACATAAATTTGTATTGTGTTAAAACCGTGGAACAGTCCATTCAAATCTATACATCTTCGATTAAGTTTACGGCAACTTGACAACTTGAATTGTCTTAGCTGTGGTCTTTGAATTGTACCAGTTGATTTCTTATTGTTGATTGATAAACTTCACAGGTGAGTTGAGATTATTTTAACTTATCTTAATTCATAATGTCTCTCTCTATAAGTAATGAGTAGGGGTGGGGCAATTATTCTTAGCAGTGGATTAGACCATTCTATGGCTCTTAGAACGTTGTCAAGGAGAGGGACAAAACTTGATTGCAGAAAGATAGAAATCTAGATTGTCTCTGGTTTAAATACATTTATAACACGCATGGGAAAAATGCCTGTTGGACTCGCCAACCAACTCTAGCTTCTTAGACATTTAGATAGAACAAAAAAAGCAAATGGCCATGCTGGTAAAATCATTTTTAATAGTGATTTAAAGAAAGGAATAGTATTTAACACCATGCCAACACTATACTTATGGCTAATTTGGTTTCTGAGGTAAAATTTTCCCGGTCAGCAGTCCCATTCAAATAACAAGCAACATTTTGATTGTTATGTGGGAACCAGGCATGAAAATCCGGAGAATCTATCTTCAAGACCAATGCCAGGATTCGAACCTAGGACATTCTAGTTGAGAGTCCAGTACCCTGACCACTTGACTACTGCAGATTCCCTGAATACCGCAGGCCCCCAAGCATTTAAAGATTTAAAGAAGAGATTGTGGAAACTCATCAGCTGTTGAAACAAGAAGCCCCCCACCAACACACCCTGCACCCCATTCCCACACAAACTCACGCACAAACTCAAAAAGACTTGCATTATAGTCATAGGAAAAAGGAATAGTCAAGATGACCAGTAACTTGCAATCTGATTAAAACACAGATCCTATTTCGTTTCTTTTTTTATAGTTCATATAGTTTCGTTTTACTTGTCTTTGCTACTCTAGGATTTGGAAGAGTTGTTATATAACCCGCGTTCTGGTTGATGTGAGGGATTAGCCAATGAAATGGACTGTTGGTTGCGGCGAGTTCTTAGCGTGATGGAACTGTGGGTATCCTAGTAGAAACATCAAAGCTGATTGATTAATGAAAAGTTTTGACGTCGCTCGTATGACCCGTGACACAACCCCCCCCACAAACACACACACATACACACACACACACACTACAACTTACTTATCAGATCTTCATACAGTGGAGGCCATCAAAAGTATAAAAAACAAAATAAAATGTAGAACGAAATATTTTAATCAGATTGAGTAATTTGTTGATAATATTTTTAGCCTCATTCTATTCAATTATACAGTTCTCTTGCACTGTCTAGTTTTAGTTTCATAATGATTCAGTTATAGTGGATGGGTTATTAATTGTTCTATGTTTGTGCACATTGTTATGAAAGATTTAGAACTATTCTTTATGAAAGAGAGATGATAAATGTAAGCAGGTATCATAATCTATTAATCTTTTCAAATTTCTGTCAGTCTTTATGCAATTTAACTTGTATTTCAATAAATCATCAGTTATTTTTTGGTCAATATCTTTTTGAGTGCAGTGAATATTGCTCTTCCCAGTGCCTCATACTGATGATAGCCAGCCACAGGGTTATTGAAATTTATTCCACAGAAATTATTTTTATATATTTAATGCTGCCTATAGTAACTGCTAGACAGACAGACAGGATCTTTCTTAATAATACTGCGGCTTAGTATACAGGCCAATTTAATCCAGTTTTAACAACCACGTAAAAAGTCCATTGATCTCCATACCATATATCTGTTGTGAAAGGATGGTTGAACAGTGGATTAACTTAAAAACTCTTAATGGAATCTAAAGGACAAAACATCTTTCAATAAATCCATTTAGATAATTTTTAATGAACAAGTATATCAATCCATTATTTTTCTGCTACAAAACAATCAACATAACATCTTGATCTGAATGTAATATGAACTGTAAGATTTAGATAAAGAAATGACTTCTCTCCTTTCTATAATGGTTTCAAACTAGATACTGAAAATGAATATATTGAAAAATGAAAATATCAAAAATTCCAGTCAAATCACATTATTCTGAGAAAAGTTATGAATGTTTGATGTTTTGACAAGAATGACGTAGTCTCGATTGTCATTGCTATGATAATAAACAATGTCTTGATTTTCCATTTTAACGTTAACTGAATAATAGTGCAGGGGTTGTAATCAACTTAATATCCCAGCCAGCCAGAAAAAAAATACCTACATTGTGCAGATTTAGCTCTTACATAATGCATCTGTAATGTTTCTTATTCTTTTATGAAATCTGTCAGTCAGGGAACTGGTCTTCTGACAAGAATGTGCCAGTTTCTCACTTGTCAGGGTTATGGCACAGTGTTGCCTAGTTATTTGGATAAGTCATTAAAACATGGTCCACCAATGTATACATTGACATGTGTCTTACAAAAACGAAAACATTGATAGTTTGAATTTTTCAAGCTGTTTCTCGCTTGTCAGAAGTAGTACCCAGTGTTGCCTAGTCATTTGGATAAGACATAAAAGAATGGCCCACCCCTAAACACACTGACATGCATGTTAAAAACATGTTTGATGGTTGGAATTTAGATGATGAACATGAAAGTTTCAAAATAACCAAAATATTGTGTTTTGGGGCACTAATTTTCATTTCATTTTAGGAATTCTGATAATCATAGGCATGTGAAGCAGACTATCTGAAAGACATACCATGTTTAATCTCGCACATATTTTAGTACACACATACAAAACTTTTCTACAATCCTGTGTACAACTCATCCAAAAGTTTAGACCTTGACATGATTAAAATTGCTTGAGTCATTCTGATCTTGTGCACATTCAGTACTTAAAGCAATACATAGTGATGGTCTTGTACATAAGGCAAGATGTGCATACTCTTTTACGTAACTAACAATTTTTTTATTTTCTTGTATCTTAACATGTGTAATGTAAAAGATCAGCTACATCTGTTAAAAAAGTAAATTACACACATTTTCAAGCATTCTAATTTTCTCGCTTTTTCCTACACTGTAATTGTTTGCTTAACTTTTTGTTTAGTTTACATTGGTACCAAAGTTTAATTATTGGCATTCATGTACGATCATGTTTGTAATCATGTGTTTTTTTTTGACAAGATTTGTGCTGGATCTGAATATTAATTATTTAATGACATGAAGTTTTTGATGGATATAATTGGATAAGGATATTAATGAAAGGAATTATGATGGATTATTCTTTGGGGTGGTTAAATAATCATGATACGTAATATAATTAATTGCACAGAATGAATATAAAGCACCTAATTTCCTCCAAAAGATTATTTTATTCTTTCGTGTGGTTGATTTCTTTTTACAAAACTAATCGTTATTAATGACAATTCCAACTTCACACTTGCAACAACAAATTAGATTTTTTATTTTACTATTAATGTAAATAATTTCGCTAGAGTCCCATAATAGATTTAGAAATGCAAAAATTGTGTTTGATGAAAAAGTTTTCTCTTGTGCCTCCTGATTGATAGCTGAGTAGTATTGACATGGCATAGTGCCTTCGCATGTATAGGGACTACGAGTTAATTACTGACATGAATTCAACATTTTGGGTGATGGATTTTATATTTTACTAATGTTCATATCTCCTAAAATCAATTTACCAAATTGAAATATCTGATAGTGTATGGATTAGTAATTTTCTTATTGCCCTTCGTAAAAGCTTTGACGAATAAGAATAATATTTGTCATTATCTTTTTCTCAAAACTGTTCAGACGCGATTCTGAATTTTGACTGAATCACAGAGAAAATTTGTTGACACAAAGTCTTGCTGCATTGTGCTGTAAAACAAGAAAAAATCTAATCTGGCAGGAAAATCTAATTAAGATAAACGAATGAATCTAATGAGCAAATATCATATAGCGTGATAACACCTCTTGAACATTTCATTAAAATCGTAATCATTGCTTTACCCTGGGGTCAAACTTTATAAAAAAAATATGGCTGAAAAGAAACTTAGTAACAGCCAATTTCCTGATGAATTCTTAAGCCTTTCTTTAAATATTTTTGCCAAAAATCCTTATCTTTAAGACAATGGCGGGGGAAAATCTGAAGAGTTAACAAATGGGGTACAAAAGACAGCAAGGAAAAATAAAAGTATAATATCCTTCTATGTCTGAGAATTGATCCATTCACAAACAATATGAGAATATGATCATGGTAGCATTAATAACATGTCAACAGGCAAGCTTTTGACTCGATTAATTCTTTCATTTACTTTGTCAATCTGTTCTCATATTGAATAATCGGCCTTAATGACAAACTTTTATTTTCATCATGTTGGGGGCATTTTAATTTCCTTCTAATTAGAGACAAATAACATGGTAAATATTGACAAAGTATTAAAAACAGTCTGCCGTCAATTGCCTACCAAATGACATTTTCATTATCTAGTGTTCATGTGCGTAGAGAAATAGATTGGATGTATATAGCCAACAGATTGTTCGCATTGCAATTAGCTTTTCTCAGAAGCTGGATATATTTTATCAGTCGTGATTGACATTTTATTTAGCATTAAATAGTGCTAATTATCTTCAACCTGAGCTGCCTAGTAATTCATGTCTGCTGAATTTACATTCTGTTTATAATGAGGCAAATAGCTGAAGCTTGTCAATTAAAAAATACACACCCATAATTGATTTTCATTAAAACGTTTAAAATTGATTAGGCTATTAGGAGAGTATTCTCTTTATATTTTTATAAGATGATATTAAAGAAAACCAACTTGGCATTCATTGATCTGGGGAGAAAAATTGCGTTACAATACAATATGGATAGGGTATGCATATAGGCTCTAAGTTGGGTCAATTTTGCCAGTCAATGGCCAGTTGAGAAATATACCTGTCAGTTAATTTGAATATCGGGATTTCTAATATCACTATCAATAAATTAAAATTAGGATACTTAAAATACAAAACAAACAATTTTTATTGTTTATTTCTTAATTCAAGAAATGAAAAGTCATATTCCTAGAACAGATTAGGATACTTAAAATACAAAACAAACAATTTTTATTGTTTATTTCTTAATTCAAGAAATGAAAAGTCATATTCCTAGAACAGATTTTAGG